TAGCTTTATTTATAGAAAGTACACTGAGTATCTGAAACGTCAAAAAGGGTATTGTATGGATGGCATACAAACTAGTAAGAACTTATGCTTTGGTACATTGGCTTGATTGAACCCATTTAACATCTTGAATTTTTCAGAGGTGTAAGCATATTTGACACTTAAGTACAAGGATCTCTCTCAACAGATGGATAGACCCATTCAGATCCATCTTTCAGGAGTAAAGAGCGAGATGCATCCCTAAGCATCTCTGGACAAGAAAGGACAGTAAGTTCTATGGCACTCAGATGTTTTGCAAATCACAGAATTGCAGGGGTTGGAAGGGATCTCCAGAGATTGTTGAGTCCAACCCCCCTGTCAAAGCAGGTTCCCTACCCACGTTGCACAAGTAGGTGTCCAGGCAGGTCTTGAATATCTCCAGAGAAGGAGACTCTGCAGCCTATTCCAGTGCTCAATCCTCCAGTGTTTTCCAGTGAGCTACAGTCTTGCCCTGTTTTGGAAATGCTTTGTTTCCACCTTGCATGGGCCTGGGAAAAAAACATTACACACCTTCAAATATCACAATTCCATGAAAGAATTCAGGTTGTTGGTCCTGCATTTCACTTCAGATACTTTCCTTCCATTCCACATAATGCTAGCATACTGTAGTTGTAGTAAGAAATACAGTAGCCTCATTCTTCGTTGCTTTTTTTTTTTTCCACATTGTCAAACTTTCACATCTATTTATATAAATTTGCCACTGAAGGTACGTAACATATTTTGCCTGTGTCAGTGGAAGAGTGGAAGAGCTAATGAAAAAATTTAAACCCGTTTTTATTGCCTGAATAAGAAAATTCTTCATGAGAAGTCATAAATAGTAATTTTTTTTATATGACCCAAGAAAGCAGCAAGTCAATTCTCAAGATAAGTGTCCTATATTATCCATTATTTTTAACAATCTTCAAATAATTTTTGAACAGTGGTGAACTGTCACTTGTATACATAATGATGATACAAAGTTGTTTACTAGATTAAGTGAAGAGAAATGAAAGCAATTGTGAAGATGTTTCAGAAATGGTCATTTTTAAAGATGCATAGAGCATACCATGCTAATGAAATTGAGTACTGAAGGAAGAGTATTGTTGTTTTTGTGGTTTTTTTTTTGTGTGTGTGTGTGAAACAAATGATTTTTACAAAATGTTATTAAATGTATACAAACTTAGTGAAAATGCAGCTTTACTAGGAATACATGTTCTATGGCTTACCTCATATATTGCACTCAAATTTCATGAATGAGAATTTTAGAGATACTAGCTGTGTATGCAAACTCACATGTTTATTTAATTTTTGTCTTACATTTGCTTTATTTTTCATGTAAGCCAAAGTTGCTTTTAAATATGAACATTTTCATTCTCTAGTGTCACTGAAGAAGCTGACATTTCAAAACAAGTGCAAAGTATTGTTGAACTGAACTTGGTTTATAGCCCAGTGGTGTACACAGTGATTCTCCAAGATCAGTGAATGAAATATTGTGCTAAATAATCAATATTCATATCTAATGGGAAAACAGTGAATATGAACTTCACACATTTTCAATAGTTCTAACATTTATACTTACGTGAAAAGTGCTTTGAGAATTATTGTAAATTTACATGAGGTATTGTAAATTTTGGGGAACATTGTGAATATTGTGTTGTCTTAATTTATACAAAGAAGAACATCAGTAAAATCAAAACTAAAAAGGTACTACAATTCAGCTATAAATTTGATATGGCCTGTTTACGGGCCATGATTTATTTTATGGCATCAGCAAAGAAATGTTTTAACTGATTACATGAGGCAAAACCAGCTGGGATTTAAGATATCACAAATTTATCAAAGCTGATAGATTTATATAAGCCTGCATCTGAACATATATTAAATATAAACTCCAAGTTATCATATCATCAAATCAATGAATTACAGTTCTGGATGCGTCTGGCAAAACTATTACACATAATGTAGACTATAATATACCCATGTCCTCTTAATACTGATAAGAGGGAATTTCTGCCAACATATGATTTTGGTATTAATTATGTAATAAGAAATGATTGAACATATTAAAAGCCATGGAATATTTTTTTAATCTGCATTTGGTTAAAATTTTGTGGCTGAAATCAATAATAGAAGAAGAACAATGTTGGTTTACAAGAAAATGTTCCTCTGACTAGAGCAACCTAACAATGTTTCTCTGACTAGAGCAACCTAGCAAGTTAACGAAGAGATCTGACTGAATTGCTTGATAATTTGCAGTTAACAAAGAGCCAGTGCAAGCAAAATGAAGAAAGGGTAGTCAGGTTTGTTGTTTCAAGGTATCTCCAAATGGAAACAACAGGTGCACAGAGGAATTTCTGCACACCCTCAGTCATCTAAAGAATGCTTCCTATAACAACTCAGTATTTACAAGTAGCCTTGTGAAAAGCCTCAGAACTTGGAGAGAAGTTCTTTGTTCAGTATCAGCTATCAGTTCAGCATGAAGGAGATGAAGCTTAGGATAAGGAAATTACTAACTTAAGACAAGCTGATGAGTACTCAGACAAGCATGCTAAATAATTTGTCAAAGAGAAGTATGTTATTTACTGAGCACTTATTTTCAATGTTTGTATCTTCCTCAGTCACTTGTTTACAGTTGATCACTTTGACTATATTTTCAAAGAGCAGTCTTTAAGGTTTGCTAGCATAGGCTAGCATCAGTAGCACTCAAGATAGCTGATACTGTATCAAGGAACAAAGGCTACCAGAAATAGATGGTATTGTAGAAAATGCTTATAGACTCAAGGAAGAAGATCAAAACTATCCATGATGGTTTGTAGCTATCAAAGGCAGAGAAGTCTCAGAAAAAAAGAATTTCTTTCAGATCAGGTATTTCAGCCTGAGCACTGAAGAGTAGTAATTAATAATCATCATCTGTGATCCTGCCATCTCTTTCATTTAAAATCTAGAATGCTCATTTTGTTTTGGTACGTACTTCTAAATGAGTGTAGGTGTCATTAGCACTTGACAGGGGAGGGCCATTCCATCTACTGTCCGTTGTCCCTAAGTCTGCTGTGTCCCCAAGCATGGTCAGAGCAACAAGACAACCCACTGCTTTTCCATCTCTGTTCTACCACTCCTCTTATAAGAAGGGTGTCTTAGATCTATGGTTCTCACTTCTTCAAGAAGCATTATGCCAGCCTGGAGCTGGCTGTGCCAGCAACTCAATGAGGAAAATATTGATATCAGTAACTGGAGATGTTCAAACTCATATAATGGGGAGGTTTTGTCATACCCAAATGCCACCAAATGTTGTCAGCTTATAACTTTGAAGAATCAGGTTCTCGGATGGAAACAGCTCATAGAATTGACTAAAAATATAATCCACAACACACAGTGTTTAAAAAAAAGAGAGGAAAAAAATGAGCAAAGAAATAAAATATCTATAAGGTATAGGGCACGTTCATAAAATCAAAATATTTCTTGACTTTTGCTCTGACATTTACACCAGGTTGAACACAAGCTGTTTGTTTGTTTTGTTACCTGACACTGAAAATACTGTCAGAAATGAATAAAATCCACAGTATTTCTGCAGCTAGTGTGCAAATACTCTTTTGGAATGGTAATATTCTTGGCATTTTTTGAATTATAAAACCGTCTTCAGATTAGAAAAATGAGCAGCTTTGAAAGAGCAAAGTTTGACAGCCTGAGGCCAAGTTCACAGAACTTTTCAAATTTGCTGCAGTGACAAATTTGTAAAACAGCAGAAATACCAGAATATATCTCAATAATGAGCAATATTTTGTTTTGTACTTTTCTCAATATCACCTCTAACATTGGCTGAAAAATCACTCCTTGAATAATGTATATGGAGAAAAATTTCTGTTGTTCCATGAATGCACTGGCTAATATTTCTTTTATCATTCAGCCAGTAACTCAAATATTACTCATCTAAAAAGACCATAACGATCCTGTACACTTCTCAGGTAGTGATCAAGCACTTCTAATTGCTACATGAACATGAAGGGGAAGGGGACTCTCCAATGTCAGATCTATCTCTCTCTTTCTCTGTTGATTAAATCATGTCTAGGTGGATTTGTGTGGGTCACATATATGCAGGAATGATCTTGAAGGTTTTAAGAGTTTTTCTTCCTCCTTTTGGTTATTAGAGAGAATCACCTGTGACACTGAGATTCTTTGTAGGACTCAACAGATGCCATAGTGTCTTTTAGTTAATTCACATAGCTTGCAATGTTTATTTTTTTGGACTGCAATTCATTTTAAGATGATGCATGAGCTTTACAGAATTTCTTCTGTGGTTTCCAGTTCTAAACTTGTCCACAGACTTCAACCTGTAAATTGCAGTGCTCTGTCCCTGACTCTACTCTGGGTATGGAGATGAGAATGCAGCTAACAGAGCAGCACTGCAGTGCCATACTTACCTACATTTGTTTTAATGTAGGTTAGCACACCTACCTTCCAAATTTTACGTAATTATGATATATTGCATATCAGAACTCCTGGTCACTCAGGACTAGGCTTCTCTGAGAGGCACTTGAATCTACTGACCTGCAAGGGACATTATTTCCTTCGCTTTATCTTTTGTTTTTGCCCACACCTAGCTGTGACGCTCTGAGTAACAGCCCAATACCTTGACCTGAGGAGCTGAGTTCAATCACTGCACTGCTCTTTAATTACCTTGGGAATAAAAGGCTTGTTTATTTTCCTAGCCTTAACTCACTCAAATGGAGTTGCCTTGTCCTTGAGCGTACCTTGTTTGTATACAGTGTAATGTATAGATCGAATAGATGTAATGTACATCTAGGGAGATGTATGTTGCTCAGGCTGTGTGCCTGGTTGGCAAAACCTAGGGTGTGAGAAAAGACAGAGCTGGTGTTAGCTGCCTGCCCCAATCCTCCAAAGGTGTGCTTGTGGGAAAAGTAAAAAAAAAAATATTGCCTGGCCTTATGTAGGTTTTATAATGAAAGAGGCAATAGGTTTTGTATGACCTTTTCTCCTGTAAAGTGCTTACTATTAGGATTCGGGAGGAAGTTACCCTTTAAGTTTGCAAACTGTTGATTTTTTTCCGTGCTTGAATAGGAGGTAGAAAAGAAGAACTGAAAATAATACAGATGTTTTGTGAGGATAGAGGTGTTGTACTGCTTGGATAAAACAGTGGTGAGTATCAAAGACCCAAATACAGTAAAAATGCATTAGATTTGTATTAAATTAATTTCTCACTATTCTCCAAAGTTGATCTTTACTGCGCTTAGTTTCAGCAGATGTATGGAATAGAGAAAGCAGATGAATAGAATGGAAAAACCAGATGGGATGTGACCAAGCATGTTCTTAATTGATCTCTGCATTGATTTCCATGAGTAGCAGGTAAGTCTAACAGTTCATAAGAATTTCAGGTTTTCATTATGCTATAATAAGCTGCTGAGGAGAATTGCACTCAATGGTCAGTTTTGGTGCCTAGCCTGTCCCTTGCATCCTTCATGAATTTTGCCTGCTGTTTCTGTTACAATTTCAACAAAAAAAATCACTGTGAAATATCTCTTGCATATCCACTATATGCCTAGTGAGAAAATAACTTTGGTAAAAAGTATGTTAATATCTCTTGGCAAGGCAGAAAAGAAGAAAAGAAGTTGCATTTAGCCTAGAACCAAATTCTTTTCCTTTTTTCTGTTTTTTTCCAGGCATAGGTCATCCATGTGACAACACAATCCTGTAAATGGGACTAACATCAGCAAATTGTATATATGACAATCAAGGTAATAGCAATACTGCCTGTGAGCTGTTTTAATATATGAGAGCATGAATTTTTTTATCCCCAAGACTTATAAAGTATTCTTATGACACAAACACTTGTTTGAGAAGGTTCATCCTTTCTTCTATTATTTTTCCCTTTGGACATTTTTAGGGAGGTTTGTATCTCGCTGCCAGATTTCTAAAGCTAAAATGATACATCAAATTTTAAGTGATAGGAGAATGACAGTTAAATTAAAGAGATTCACTACATTAATTTTTATTTCAATTATATGGAAATATAATCTAGACTAAGGAAATATGTGCAGTTGCTCAGGGTCACAGAGTAACCCACTTCAGGTGCAAGTTAACAAGTTACAAGTTATATCAAGTTAAGCAATGCTCTGCTGTAGAATTTCTGGGTATATATCACTTATAATTACTCTGGTTTGGGTTAAAGAAAGATTTTCCTTTTTTTTTTTTTTTTTCCCCAGGAGATTATTTGTCACTCTTTTGTCATTCCTTATTTTGGCTCTCTCAGTGTGCCCAACAGTCAGAATAACAGATATTGTTGTTCAGGAGGAGACTTTCTTAATGGTAATACTTTGCCTTTGCTGTGTAAAATCTATAAAATGCTTGACTGGAACAATACAATCAATAAAACAGGCACTGAACTAGGGGTGGATAATATTTTCTTGGCAGTCCAGAAAGAAAAAGGAAAAAAAAAAAAAAAAAAAAAAAAAAGAAATGCACATTTGTGCCTGTGGCTGTCTGCAGTATTTGATGCTAACTGAAACTGTTTTTCCCTGAAACTCAGATTTCACTCCATTCTCTTTGGAGCTTTCTATCTTCTTATACACCATCTCTCGGATGCAGTATAGTAATGTAACTCTTGCCCATTAGCTTTATTGCAGAAGAAGAAAGAATGTGTGGATTACCAGGATGTAACACTACATTACCTTTTGTTGCCTCAGGTATTTTTACAATGAGGTTTTCTTTATGGTATATAAAAGCTTGGAACATAATTTTGGAGTTGCAAATGAATTACAAATCAGCTTGAGAGTAAAAAATTTTGTGAGAAAGAAAGTTGGAATGAAAATAAGCAGAGAGCAGCAAGACAGGTGCTTTCCAAAGACCTCAATTATCTCAAAGTTGCTACACTTAGGAGGAAAAGCTGTAAAATAGAGTTATTGATTATAAAATCAATTCATTCTTTGATGCAAGAAAGCACACCTTAGTATGTTATAAATATATCTGAAACTAAATCTCTCAAATGGGAAAACAGTCAAAAAAGAAAAGTTAATGCAATCTGAAAGATTATGGAAAAGTTATGAGTAAGAAGCCTGGTATTTAACATGCAAGAGTACATAGTTAGAAACCAGAAACAGTCATTCATCAGGCATCTGCCACCCAAGCCTTGAAAATGGTTTGATCTATGCATCCAAGGGTGAGAAAAAGGAGATTTTTTTTTCTTTTTTTTTTTTTTGCCTAAATATGCCTTAATATGAGCCTTGGGAATCTATGACTCTAAGCATGACTTGCTTAGTTACTGTACTGCCATGAGTTTTCATCACTTTCAAGTGACTCTCAAATTTCTGATATGTTTTGCTCTATATCTGATTCTCCACATTCACTTTTTGGTTTTGTGATATAATAGGAAATACAATTGGGCAAGAATGAAAAACCATGTAGAGGATGATATAAGGGTCAGCCTGGATATGGATAGTTTTTATAATATTCAGAAATGCAGGATGACAAAGCTGTAACCTTGACCATTGTTCTGGGAGTGCTTGGCTGGGAAGATGCATTAAAAATAGATTTCACAGACACAGAGACAGCGAGTCAAATATTAGGAGTGTTAATGTCCAGAATCTGCAGATTGACATCTTTTTTCCAGTGTCAAAATGAGAAAAAAAATTCTTGATTCTTTTCCCAACATTTGGAATTCTGGACGTTATTTGTAGCTTAGTTTAAGCAGGCCCTATGGCAAGTTATTTTACTTGAGTTGTAGCCCTTACCTATACTCTGAGGCTAATTATGAAATCCTGGAAGGACTGACTCTACTGTGAGAGCAACTTGAAAACAGTTAAGGCCATACTTCCTAAAAAACAAACATGAGAAAGCATAAGAAAGATAATCCTAAAATGATCAGATAAAAGAGATAGTATTGCAGTTCTAGCACCCTTAAATCGAAAGGAATGACATCAGCAATGAGAGGGAGGAAAAAGACCAAACTTCAAGCACAGCTTGAGAAATTGTCTTCTGGGCATGTCATACTGTCTCTGGAAGATGCTCAGGGGGATTGCATTTTTCCTTTATTTAGGAAAAATTTGTTCTAGTTTGTCATACTGATAAAGGTGCATTAGAGTAGTCTGAATTCAAATTGACAGTTATGTCATGAGAATTTTGAAAGTCAAGAATTAAACTTGATATCCAAAAGCTGGGTGTCCCACATAAACCTGATTTCCTGATCTGCGGTGTGAAGATGAAGTTTATCCTTGAAGAAGTTATCAATAAGTGTGGTAAATTGGGAAAGAGGCTGCAAGGCTTCTGTGGAGGGAAATGCTGCCTTGATGACCCATGGGAGTTCCAGAAGAATGCTATTATGGTCCAAGGTGATATTCTCCTCCTCCTCCCTGGCAAAAGTTGGTCTGGTGGAGTTAATATATCATATTGGTCATTTCAAGAAGCCTTTAAACACATGATTTTATTGAAGATTTTTTTAAAGAAACAAAATTGCCATGGAACTTGAAGACTGTTTTATTGGCTGAAGATTATTAATGATTGGGAAACAAAAAATTAGTCTTAATGATCTTATTCCACGATGGGGAAGAATCAGTGCTGCAAGTGGTTTTGTTCAATAACATCACTGATGACTTGGAAAATAAACCAACTGTGAAATCTCAAGTTTATAGATAATGCTGATATCTATCAAGCAATTGTATTCCTTCAAAAGAACTTCAGAAAATCATCTTCATAAGAAATTGATTCTATCAGTAAAAGAGTGGCAGATGAGCTTCAGTGCTGCCAAAGGAGAGACAAAGAGAAAATAATTTGAAATCTGCTGACCTGGGGCTGAACTTAGTACTGGTGGTGACACCTCAGGCTGTTGGAGCTGTCATCAATGGTTCTCTGAAATCCTCATCTTACGGTGTAATGGCAACCAAAAAGCGAAAATAACTCTGAGCATCCTTAAGAGAAAAAAAAAAAAAAAAAAACGGGGGGTGGGGGGAAACATCACATTGCTGTTATTCTGCCAATAGAAGTACAGCCCTGGGCACCTGCTCTTGAGTACTACAAAGATACGAGGACACAAAAGAGTTAGAAAAGGTGCAGGAAGGACAGCAAAATGATCAAGAGAATGGAGCAACTGCCTTGCAAGGAGAGATTAAAAAGTGTAGAGCATTAAATATCAATTAGGAGGAAAAATCTTTCCATACTAATAAAATTTTGGATTTGTCTGTCACATAAGGAGTAAAAAGTATGAAAAAATTGCCTTAGGAATAGCAGAGTCCACGTGGCAACACCTCTTAGTGATACTAGAACGTTTAACATCACCTTTAAAAAAATAAACAAGTCATTGGATTTTTTTTTCCGAAACTTTTGCCTTATGCTGTTTAGTGAAACCATCCACACCAAAAAGTGTCCATCCTGTATGTCTTCTTAATTTACATAATAGTATGTAGATCAGAGGTTTTTTTTAGTATGACACTAAAATTTGAGAGAAAAAGTTCATGTTTTATAGTGAGATTCTTCAGGTGCTAAATGAAGATCCAAATTCAAACTATTTTGCCTGGATCAAGCGGAGTACAGAGCTGAACTGGATTCCCAAGTTATATCCTGATCCACAGGGCTGTACAACAGCATGTGCATATTTTTCAGTGGAGGAGTTGGGGATTCAATCCATATTCATTCTTTCTTTAGTATATTTCCAACAATTTTAATTTGAAGTAAAACAAAATAGTTTTTATTCTCCATGAAAATAACTTCAGTTTTCAGCTAATAAAAAATGAAATTGCCACCTTCCTGCCAAGAAATACCAAATCACAGCCTGAAGCAAAGCTTTCTTCTGTTCCTGGGCATACAGATGCCTTCAGTACTGGATTCCCAGTGGAGATGATGATATTGAATATATGAAGTATTGGAGCTCCAGGTCTCTGAGAAAACTTTTAAAAATTGTGCTTCATGTTTGTGGTGATGAGAGAACTCGCCTTTTAAGGTTATCACAATGATGTGTTAGCTAGCAGCAAATAATTGTGGGCAATTTTCTTAAGATAAATAAATAAATAATGGTGGGAAGAAACTATTCTCTGTATCTGTCAAAGAGCCTTTTATTTTGGCTTTACTGGTTTACCCAGCAAAAAGCATGTGAGAGTATGAAGTCTGTCACAGTTAATATTTCAAGCTAGATTCTTAAATGCAATAATCAAACAGATGTTACAGCAACATAATCAGACATGAGCGATTAGATAAAATGAAAATGATTTCTGTGACCAAAAGAAATAAACCAGTGTCCAGAATAAGAGAGATTATTGCTTGTCAGAATGACAGCTGACGACTTTATTTATGTTTTATCTCTAGCAGAACTGTCTATCCTGTTGAGATTTTCTACTTCAGCAAGGATTGCAGATTAGGCGGATATTCAACATTCATCCCTACTTTTCCAGACTTAATACAGTGACTTTCTTGTTACCAAAAGAAAAGAGGAAGAAGAATTGTTTTTACCAGTGGTTGTGGAAGAAGTCTTGAAGCGACTAACTAGATTCCTTATCTGCTAAGTATCAGGTAATTATAATGGAACACTCTTTTGAAATACAGAATGGAAACTGTTCACAAGTGGTCTGATGAATGACAATGACAATACTTCTTGGCATCAAAGGACCAAATTCAGTTTTACACCTTTGTATTAGAGCCAGGTCAGACACACAGTAGACCTAAGACTGTAGGAATGTACATACATGCTTGCAACTGTCTAGGGCTTGTATCATTAAAGAGGCGGTTGCAAGCAATTTTTTTTTCTTTATGTAAAAATGTTTTCAGTCACCAGCCCTGCATTTGTTGACAGGATTTGGATAGCAGCAAGGACACACACAGGGCTGAAGAAACCTCCTCAGCTATGGGGGTGATTAATGGGGCATTCTATCACCCCCAGAATGAGGATGGGGCCTGAGTCCCACATCTGCTGTGGGTGTTGATGTGTGCAGGTGTGGCTGTGAACCTAAAACAGTGTGAACATGTGCGCACATGAGAGATCAGAGGTTTTTGTGACTGGCTGTAGAAGGATGTTTTGAAAGTTGTGGGTCTTTATTAGCATTTCACAAATTGCAAATCACTGGTTGCCAGTGAATTATGAATAATATGAATTATAAATCAATAAGCAACCTCAGTCCTGCTTTTGTTTTTGTTCAGCTATGCAAACTGTGCAGACTTTTCTCCATGACACAGTTGTGGTGAAGAACATAGGCAGTCTGTTGAAGTAACTCAACCTAAGTTTGGGTAGTCAACTTTCTAGCTTCTGGGTCATTAATTTGGAAAAAAGTAAATATATGTCCATAGCTTAAGCATGTTACGGGTGCTTCTGATGCTTTAGCAGAATTGTAGTGGGTAAAAGGTTTAGGCAGGAAGAAATAGAGTGTCAATCCTGACTTCCCCCTAATCCCAATCGTGGTATGAAGTAGCTGTGAAAATCCATTATCCCAGTCCTTGAGATGAAGACCGGTTAGGACTGGTACACAGTTATGAGGGAAACTATGTTCTGAATTAGCCAAAGAGAAACAAAGAAGCAGAAAACTCACTGTGCTCAGTACAGCTATTTGTGTGGCAGCTAATAACTACTCTCTCAGAGGAGAAGGAGGCAATTACAAAATAGGAGGATGAGATTTGGCAGCTGAAGGAATGTGTGTCTACTTACAAAGTCTCTGTACAGGAGGCTGCTGAGCATGCTGAGACCAGGAGAGCACAGTAGGCGGAGAGGCCAGTGCAGTAACATCAAACACTGAGCACCTTCAGGGGAAACAGTCTCACTGAACCAGGTCTGGGAAGGCTGAGTGGCAGATCTTGCTGAAAACGTTGGGTGAAAACATCTGGGAAACAAAAAAGGATGGCAAGAGCACAGTGCAGCACCACCATCCCCAGCACAAAAGATGGAACCTTCTGAATGATATCATTTCTGCAAGACAAAAGTTTGGTGTGGGATTCATGCAAAAGAGATAAAATTTCATTGAGTGCAATAGCTGCCAACTCTGCTCAATTTAGCACCAGGAATAAATCAAGAGTAATTTTGCAATATAGGAGAAGCAATCAATAGCTGAAA